GAATTTAGCAGTTAGTACTTATCACTCACAATTATTAGAGGTACAAAACCGTTGATGTAATCTGCTGGCTTCTTATTTGAAATCTTGGAGGAGGTCTTGTTAAACTCTTCAACTAAAAATTTCATAATTAAACTAGCCCAGTTTATTGATAAAAATCATCTGGATTATTTGCTATTCTTTGATGCAATCAAGGAGTTTTGAAGTTGTTAAGTTGAAAAAGTAAATTTGAACATAAATACATGATAAACATTCTTAACATAGTCTCGCGGGGGGGGGGGGTTTGCTTGTTCAACTCCAATATGTCTGCCTTAATTTCCGATAGTGTAACTGAAGTATGTGCTAAGGAAAGCCAGGATATTTCTTCTCCTTTATTTGATAGATCAGTAAGTAGGGCCACTTCATCAGCAGTGAAAGAAATGGAGTCACCTTTTAGAACAAAGCATTGTTTTGAAATGTTCCACCTTGATATCAACTCATAAATAAGAGGGACATTTTGCTCAAACCCAGGAAATTATAAAAACTGTATGATCTTCAACCGTTTCAATGTGTCCACGACTTCAGGAGAAATTTGCTGAGCAAAATTATCACAGATTGATCAAAAAGTTGAAACATAACATCGATAGGTAATTGGACGAACATATATCTGAAAATTTTAAAAAATAAAAACATATAGAATAAGTAAATAAGATACGCACAAAAAATACACAACATAAGCATAAAATACGCACAACACAAGCAACGATCACGCACAACATACGCATAGAGTACTCACAACATACGCACAAGAACGGATATTTCAGAAAATATGACAGCAAATTATACGCACGCATAAAGTACGCACACAGTATATATGCACAACATAAGCAATTATCACGCACAATATACACATAACATACGCATATAGTACGCACAACATACGTGTAGAGTACGTACAACATACGCATAAAATACTCGGTGCTTAAAATTTAGTTAGGGTTTATGTTTTAAATATCAACATAAATTCATAAACCCTAAAAACAGAGAAAATCTGATGGAATCAAAGTATAAACAAATATTTAAAAAGTTTCGAGAAGCACCGCATACGCATAACGTAAGCATAAAAAAACGAAGAACTTCAAAACCTTGAACACCTATGCATAGCATAACCATAAAATATGCAAAACTGAACAGAAATCATGGCAGCAAATTACCTTTTTTTTGGTGGGTGATGACATCTGAGAAGGAATTGAGGGAATGCTTGGAATTGCTCCGGATTGAATGCTTGAAAGTTGGAATGTTTGCTGGAACTTGAAAACCGTAACGCAGCGTCTGACATTCGACCTTTACCAGTGTTTAAATGTTGATGCCACGTCGACATCTCACTAGGCGCAATTAGGGGTCGGAACTGGAAAAAAAAGAGGTTAATTTTATTAGAGGCGTCGCCTCAAAAATGTGAGGCGAGGCGCGCCTCATTAGACTTGAGGCGTAAGCCTCAAAACCTTAACTTATTGCGTAGGCTTTGAGGCTTAAAGGGACCACATTGCGGTAAGGCGCGCCTTTTATTGCGCAATTTTAAACCATGCACTACCTTTTCAATCTCTCATACATGATCAACTTAAGTGGTCCCTAAAAGTTGGCTGGCTTGTACCACAACCTATAATACATGTGAAACATTAACTTTTCTATTATATCCCAAAAAAGGATGCAAATCATCATCTTCAGAGTGGTAACTATGAGATCCTTTAGGCAAGGTTAAACTAGGCAGTTGGTTAGGTAGGAATATTAGACTATGTAGGATATTCTTAGTTGTTGAAGTAAAAAATATTTGTGGGCTTCACAAACTTGTGCCCTGGTCCCTCCACATTCGGGAAGAGTTTTAATGGATGTTGCAGGTCAAATTTTTAGAAGACAAATTAGTTTAAGGATAATGTCTTATCTAAAACTTCGCCCTCATTTTATAAAAAAATTAATATTTGAGTTCAGGTTTCCTATAAGCAAATATCCTTATGATTAATTATCTCTCCCACCAATAATGAGAGAGTATTTTCGATTGAGTATTTTCGATTAAGTCTAGTCGTTAGATAACACTAAGTACCTATCATTTAATAGCAACAAATTTAATATTGGATTTGAAAATTATAATTGTTAGAGGTGGAAACGAGTCAAGCTAACTCACGAGCCTGCTCGAGCTTGGATGACATAATCATGGGATTTTGATAGTATTTTTTTTAAACTCAAATTTAATCACTTGTACCATGCTAATATGAAATTTTTTTGGCTATGCCCTTGATCAAGGCTCACTTTATCAAATCTAGAGGAAGATTAGTCATATTGTTGATGATCATGATTTGGGCATCAAATAGTGAAGAGACAAAATGGTTCATGATTTTTGCAGTCTTGATTGTCCAAGTTATTGATGCAGACCATCAACAATGGTGATTCCTAGATTGCACTATTGAGAATAGAAAAATTCCACTGTAAACCTCCTTGGATGAGATAATTCATAATTGCAAATAAGAAAAACTTCAAATCATAACCTCTCTGAAAACAATAGTTTAATGAGCCAACTTCATAGGCCTTGGACGATGCGATCATGGGATTTTGATAGAGTCAGTTTTTAAAAACCCAAATTTGGTCACTAGCACCATGCTAATTTGAAATTATTTTGCGATGCACTTGATCGAGGCACACTTCATCAAATTGAGTGGAAGATTAATTAGATAATCCATGGCATGATTGGGCAAAAATAGTGAAGAAATAAAAGGCATCATGATTGTTGAAGTTTTGATGGTCCAATATATTGATGCAGACTACCAATGATACTGATTCCTAGTTCTTACCAATTAGGTTAGAAATTTTCACTTGGAGTCCACATGTGAAGGTTGATCATTAATTGACATGATCATCGAAATTGAGAGATGAAAAAATCTAGACCATTGGATGAAAATCAGGTGGACGACATGGATTGTATGGCTGGCCAATTCAAGGAATATTATTTAACCGGAGGTTCCCAATAAGAGCAAATTTGAAATTTTTTGTTTTTATGTGGACCTTGAGGTGAAAGTATACATGAAGATCCCACCTACATTGAAAAATTAGAAAAACACTAATAAGGTATGCAAACTTAGAAATGCATTTTATGGCCTAAAAAAAATCCTATGTGCCTAGTTTGATAGATTTTTCAAATATATTGACTGCTGTAAGCACATTCAGTGTCAAACTTACACTCTCTTTATCAAGCACTCAATTGGAGGAAAAAAATACGATTATGATCATATGTATGTACTATATTGAGAGGTGATTTTGAGGAAGTGCTAACTAGATTGAATGGGTTCATGGCAAGAAAATTCACAATAAAAAAACTTGGTTTCTTGCTACGGAAGTAAATGATCAAAACAAGATATTATTAGTTCTTAAAGGAAATATATTTTTTATTTATTTCAAGAGACAAGAATGCTTGGATATAAGTCTACAATAATTTCAATGAACCCAACAAAAAAAAAAAAAGAATCACCATTAACAACATGCTCGTAAAGGCAAGTATCAGCACATTATGGTCTAACTCATCTACCTCTCTCTTACTTGATATTGCGTTTGGTATTAGTATTATAAGCCAATACGTGAACAACCTTGTTGAAAATTGCATGGAAGCTATTAAACACATCCTAAGTTATCTTAAGATTACACTAGGAAAAGACATTATATAAAAGGTCATTCAATAAGGAAATCAAAATTTTCACATATGTTCATTAGGCTAAAGACTCGTCAAACGGAAGATCCATCCTGCCTATTGTACTAATGTATGGGGAAGCTTAGTTACATGGAGAAGAAATAAATAGTTTCTAGTCTCAAGAAACTGTGTTGAAATTGAATATAGGAAATTGAGACTTGATATTTGTGAATGCATGCGGTTAGAAAAGTTGTTAGAAGAATTAAGTTAATAAGTTGAAAAATCTCTAAAACTTTACTAAGACAATAAATATGTATTAATTATTACAAAAAATCCCGTTCACCATGACAGAACTAAACACATTGAGGTAGACCGACATATTATTTAAAAAAATAAAAAATGGATTAGCTCAACTAAATTAAATTCCAACAAACTTCAAAACTGCATCCATCCTCACCATGGTTTTATCCAAAATAACCTTTATCTAATGAACTAGCTGCGCATGATCAACATATATGATTCAACTTGAGAGAGAGTGAAATAAATATGAATTCATGCTTGGTACCTTTTTCATCTACTATAACCTACCAAATAGTAGATAGCAACTTTCCATCTACAATAATTCAACAATCCATTCATAACAGCTTTCTATCTATAGTAATATTTGGGCAACACCGTTCTATCTATAATAATACAGCAGTCTGTGAACAACAACATTCTACTTAACTTTTATTCTAGAATTAAATATTGGTTTCTAGATTTGTTTCTTTTCTCTAAAGTTATTTCTTTACCTACTTATAGACAATTACTCATTTTATTTTACATCAAATAAAGCACTAGAATTCAGTCATTTTCTACTCTTGTCTCTTCTCATTCTAATTTTCAAGAATACGCTAAAGTAGGCACCAAGTTGTTGGAATAAAATGCTTATGATGTTGATGAAGATGGTCTAGTATTTCAAGATTAGCTGCAGAATAAGCACACCAATTATTAAAATGGTAAATGGAGATTGCTTGAACAATAATGAACCTAAAACCAAGTAATTTCTATTATAAACCACAAAGTATATGTTTAGGAGTTTGTAATTGATGATACTACTTCTAGATATTAAAAAAATACTCAGCTTAATTTCTGTTCTTAATGGCGTCAGAAATGAAATGTATGAATGTGAGAGAAAATCAAGAAGCATTTGCTTATTTATGAGTTGGCAATTGAGGCTTTTTCTACATGCTGAATTGCAACTTTTCCCGATGTTGCTAATTATATGAAAACAACTCTCCACCAAGCTACTGAAGCTATATGAAAAGACATTCTTTTTACACTTGCTGAAGTCCTGTATATGCTTTTGCAGCCATTCAGATGTCAATCTGGTTGAGTTGGAGAATGAAGTGGCTAAGGAAGGCGACCAAGCTATGTTACTTGAAGGAGGCCTTCCTAAGTCTGCAACTGCAAATTTTCAGAGTGCTTCTGTGCGTACAAATTTAATCAGGTCTATTAAAGAAAACAGTTGAAATTATTTTATTTCATTAGAATAACACTAAAACTTTAACCATTGATGTCTTGGCACCATGGCGAGAGGTCTAACAATTTGTGGCGCCCTCATTTGTATAGGTTTGCAACAATGGATGAATCTTTCTTGCTTGAGAATCGAGCTCTATTGAGGGCCATGTAAGGTTTTCTGGCATTGGTCATTCCATACCTACTAATTTGATGACTAATTATCCCTTGACTAATATATAGTCTTCATGCAGGTCAGAATTTGGGTTCATTTTGGTCTACTATTACTTATGCGATCGGACTAACTTGTTTTCAGAAACCAACAAGGTGTTTGATTCTTTTACATTCGATTTAATAGAACTTTAGTAATGATAGTTCAGGTAATGATTTTAGCTTTTACTTACGATTGTGTTTGTAATATGCTGATCTGCAAAAGTAACAGATTTTGAATGCTTATTAGTTTAGTTTGTGGTTCTTGGTTATTTAGCTTTTAGAAATTTTTAATTCTGCTTAATTAATCTTGCTATTAAGTTGTATAAATGATTAGAAAATTACCTTATACAAGATGCACTTGAAGGTTGGGCTATATATGTTCTTCTTTAGTGAACAGAGTATGAATATTCTTCGCTCAAAATTTGAATTGCAATGGGGAGCACTTTTTTATTTCATTAGTGTTATCATGCCATGTTTAATTTGTTCCAGCTTTTTGAATTACAGGTCATTACTATGAGTTTATTTTTTCATTCATCTAGCCTTTTTTGTTTTGTTCTGTTGTATAACTTAATTTTATATTCGTGCTTACCTCAAGTTTTACCATGACCTCCAAACACCTCGAAAGTGAGGGCAATATATTATTAATCAAACTGGACAATCTCCTGGCTCGTAAAAGGAAATCTGTTTTCTTATTCATTTGCTTCACTTAACGTTTCCAAACACTTTCATTTTCTTACATTTATTATGATTATCTCTCTAATTATTCCTTGAAGCAACAATATTACATGTTTGATATGCTTTTTATGAGATGTTATACGTGAAAAAGAAACGCTTAGCAAAAACTGGTTATCTGCAACATAATGGGTTATAACGTGAAATTAAGCTTCTACTTATTCAAAACCTTTGAATGTTTATTTATCTGGGTGCATTATTTTTGTATGCCTGCTTTTGACTTTGCCAGAATTACAGCCGAGACCTATTTCTCTTCCTCTATCTTCTTCTTGTCCTAGCATCAGCCTTGACTTCCCTAAAGAAACACAATGACAAGTCAGCTTTCTCAGGAAAATCCATTCTTTACTTGAACCGTCATCAGACCGAGGAGTGGAAGGGATGGATGCAGGTTAGTAATGGCTCTATTGGCACCGTTCTTGTTTTCTTATATATACCTACATATTATTTGACAGCAAACTTTTGATTTTTTTTTTATTGCTCTAACAACACATTTATATTGGTTAGCTGTTGCATGTACTGTGGACATCTCTACTTCTTTTTTATGCTAGTCATAGCAATGAAGTAATAATTTAAGAACTAGCGGCAAAAGTTAGCTTGGGAATGTAGCTTATTGTCCTTTTCATGCTTACGAACAGGAGCACCATGATAGTATTTAAGATCTTAGGAACAAAATGATTTCTTTGGCCGTCTTACTTCCATGGTTCCTTGTACTATAATCAGTAAAAATTTCTTGGCCGCATTAAAATGTTTTTTTCCCAAGTAAATTAACAATTGAACCCTGTAATTTGAGCTTAATATGTAGAGCTTACATATAATCAAGCTAATGATGCTTCCAACAACAATAACAACAACAACAACAACAACAACATCAAGCCTTTATCCCACTACTTGGGGTCGGCTACATGAATCCTTTTTCTCCATTGTGTCCTATTAAAAGTAAAAATCTTGTTTAAATCTTATAAAGAAAGATCATTTCTAATATTTTCTAACCAAGTCTTTTTAGGTCTGCCTCTACCTATCTTAACATAAGTCAAATCTAATACCTCTACTTTCCTAACCGGGTCAACGGAAGACTGCCGTTTTATGTGACCAAACCATCTAAGGCGTCTCTCTCTAATCTTATCTTCTACTGGAGCTACTCCAACCTTTTCACGTATATGCTCATTTCGTATCCTATCTCTAAGGATAAAGCCACTCATCCACCTGAGCATGCTCATCTCTTCCACACTTAACTTAGTATTATGCTTCTCTTTTAATGGCCAACATTCAACCCCATAAAGCAATGCATGCCTCGCCACCATCTTATAGAAATTTCCCTTAAGTTTGAGGGGTACTTTTTTATCATACAACAAGCCCGATGCATTCCTCCACTTCAACCATCCAACTTGAATTCTGCTGATAATATTCCCATCTATTTCACCATCTCTCTGAACAACAGATCCAAGATATCTAAAATGAGTACTCTTATTAATGACTTGATCGCCCAAAGTCACAGTCCCCTCACTAGGTCTATTACTATTAAAATTACACTCCATATATTCCATTTTAGATCTACTCAAGCAAAAACCTTTAGACTCTAAGATGCTTCCCAGATGAGAGAAAATAATTTGGATAATACTAGTTTGATGTCAGTGTTCTGTAACTCTGTTTGATGAGGTTTTATGCAGTTGAACAAGGAAAATAGGAAAATAAAATACCTCTCGTGTGTTATAGCATCTTTTGATGATGATGGATACTTATTATGGCTTGGGGTTTTCATGATAAGAAGAAGAATCTGCTTGGTTTTTACCTTGTATTTTTTATTTATTTTTTGTGTACCTTCTGTCTTATGTTGAGTGTTTATGGATTTATTCATGTATTAAGACGACAAAATTGAAGTTGCTTCTTAACTTTTAAGAAACTTGATTAGGGAAACTTTAGTATTCATGCTTTATAATTAACTATTGTATTAGTGGTTAGGGTCTATTTGTCTGTAAAATATGTTCTTCATTAGCTTTCTAATGGGAACCTTGGGCTTATCTGCCTCATCCATTAGCATCTATGAAGGTTCAGTGACCTATTTTGATCTTTGGCATCGGTTATGATTTGTTGGACAAGTAGGCTTATTATATTCTTTAAGGTTTTGGGAGCCCACTCAAGTCTGTTGATATCTAAACCATCGATTTGTTGGTATTAATGGAATAAGTTTTCTTCCTATAAGGTTTCTAACTATGATTATGCTAAATTAAATATGCTCTGCAGAAATTGATTGAGTCAAGCAACTGATTACTAGCTAATTCTGATTATCAGTTGATGACTTTAAAAAAGCTCCACCCAAATAGTTGTTGTCAAATTCAGATATTTGAGAGGGAGAGGGAAAAACTATAGCTTTATTGCACAAATTCATTCCCTATTTATAGATCTATACAGGATATCAAATATAAAAAACAAAATAAATTACATAATTAAACATTATTGTATAATACAATCCTTACTAAATCAGCCACCTAACAATGGAATGGAATTGACATTATTCATGTGAGCCTCCCACGGATCTTTGTTGAAATTATTGGCTGGGATTAGCAGTGGAAACCATCGGTTGCGATTTAATACTTAAACTTAAGTTGGGAAATATAGATCTGTTATTCCCAGCTTGGTAATAAATTCGAGACAGGCGGAGTTAACCACTACCCTTAAGCTAATTTTTTGATGAGACGTGGCAGATACATAACAATATGTTTTTTTTTTCTTTTATAAAATTTGTTTACTTCTATATGCTTGGTCCTTTCATATTGAACTAAATTGTGAGCTATGTTGATTGCTGATTTGTTGTCACAATGTAGCTTTATGAGTCCTTCCCTCTCGATCCTCAGGTCTTCTATAATCATCTTGACCCATAGTAGCTCACAATTTCCCAAGGCTATAACTCTATATTCTACTTTTGCACTAGATCTTGCTATTACATTATGTTTCTTGCTTCTCTACATGATTAGGTTTCCTCCAAGGAATGTGTATTATCCTGATGTAGATCGTCTATCATGGAGTCTGCTTCATCTCATGCACAAAAATTAGGATCTCTTTCTTTTAGTCTTCCTCCAAGGAGGTGATGTATTTTTCCTTTCGCTTTCAAGTAGGTCTTCACAAATTAAGATCATTTTAGATGGTTCTTCCCATTTAGGCGATATGAAGATTGCATGTTTTGGAGATCACCTTGTCCTTGGTGCACCATAGAATCCTGAATTTGATCAAAGCTTTGGGAGGAAATACCTTGAAACATTGTGGTGCCAAATGATAGTAATGAAGACTATCTATACTTGTATCCTCAGTCTTCTGGCATCGAAAATGAAGGTTGATGCTTGTTTGAGTAAATAGGAATTCAGTAGATCCTATTAGGTTCGGCCCCACCCCGCTCCAGGTCACAAGCACGACTCCGTTCAGCTCAGTTGCGTACTTAGGAAGCCTAAGTCTTGCTTGGGTCGACTCCTTCGAACTCCTTCGCACGACTTGTGCTCAAAGACTGACTCCAGACGCATGAACAAGCTGCTAGCACTGTCTTGCGTTCGATTTTGCTCCAACGATGACTTGAGAGCCACTCGTCCTTCCTTAGCGTTGTTCCACTAAATTCCTACGCTCGAGAAAATCAAGGCTTGCGACCTCCTTTCTTGATCGGCTCTTTCAGTGATGCGGACGTTCGGTTTGCACGTGGGAGGCTTGTTCGACTCCGCCCTTTTTGGTCGTAGGCAGGAAGTTTGCGTTCGGGATATCTCGCTCGTACCGTTATGTTTTGCTTCAACACGCAAAGAGGGCTGAAGCCGATGGTTCGACGATCATCCTTTACTGCAATGAAGGCCTCCCTCTCTGCTTCTTTCGAATATTCTCTTATGAAGGTTTGGTAACGGTAACGACAATGAAGGCCTACCGTGGCTCTGTTACCATGTCAAATTCTGAGATTTGAGAGGGAAAAGTCATAGCTTTATTGCACAAATTCATCTCTATTTATAGATCTATATATGATATCAAATAAAGAAACAAAATAAATTACAGAATCAAGCATGATTGTCTGATACAATCCTTCCTAAATCAATCACTTAACAATAGAAAGGAACTGGCGTGATTCATGCGAGTCTCCCATTGATCCCCGTGGAAATCATCGGCTAGGGTTAGCAGTGGAAACCATCGGCTGAGATTTAACAATTGTGATAAAGCTTATGTCAAGACTCTGTTTGGCAATGTTGTGTTACACTATGTTATCCTTTTGATGTAGGATAATTGGGATTATTGGATTCTTTTCCATATTGATTTTTAGTCACGTTTCAATTTAATTTTTATGCATGTTTTAATTATGCTTCTCGTGTTAAAAGTGTATTGATTATACTCTATATATTTGCATATAAGTTTGAGTTATTTTTAGCATGCACTGAGGACATGTTCTATATAAAGGGTAGCCTAGGGTTGTAAGAAGACAAGTATTGATGATTGAATATAAAGGTGTAAATGGGTCAAGCTGACTCGTGAACCGGGTCGAGCTTGGTTTAATAAATGGCTAATGAGCCTGTTTGACGAGCAAATGAGCCTAGCTTGAGCCAGCCTTAACTGCTATGACGCCTTGTGATTGGCTGCAGGAGGATGAAGTCAACGATCTAGTGAGTTGTTTGCTATCTGGCGAGATCAAGAGGAGGCTAGTCTTGAGAGGAGGTGGATTCGTAGTCAATGTGTTGTCTCGTGAGGTCGGTGAGTGACATAGGGGTTCAATGCCACCTTATTGAGGAAGATGCGTCGAGGTGTTAGTGGTGATGATGAATTCCTTAGTCTGGTAAGAGTTTTAGCCAAATGTGTAAGGGTAGTTGTGGTAGACGCTTTCATTTAAATAAGTTTGGTGAGCTCAAAGAGTAAAAGCTTGATTGAGATGAGTGGCAATTTACTTGCTTAGCAAGGAACCTCTTGGTCGCCTAGTGTAGGACGTGCTTTTGGATGGGCGAGTTTCTCTAGTAGTTGAGGGTGAGTCCTTTAAGGCATTTGCTCTTGAGGAGTATCTTTGCCACAAATCGATCGCTACCTGTGAAAATATCTGAGAATGCAATTATGGGTGTACATTATTCATATTATTCCATGTATCATCACAAACCTTTTCATCAACAATACCTTGAACCTCATCTGCTCACCTATCTTACCTTTAGAATTTCCTCATGTTAATCTTCTTTTGAACTTAAATCAAGTGCATGTCTGCAAAATATGCTCAACCTAGGGGTGTCAAAATGGGTTGATAGGTCGGGTTCGGGTCCAATCCAAAATTGACTAGACTCGAATGCAATCAACCCAAACCTGACCTGTTTAATAAACATGACAAAAAAAAAGTTCAATGTGATTGATTACATGATGACATGACTATTGATAGTGGAGAGGGCTTTA